CCTACATATACTATTCAAAAAAAGTAGGGGATATTTGATTTTGGGGGCATAATACTAAAATATGCAAATGACTACGAAAAAAGTCACTATAGAACCTAACAGAAGAAACATTTCCAGTTACATGTGACGCCCAAACGCACCAATAGCTACCGCATGGAATGCAGGTGATGCTTGGGATCATCATGGGGGTCCAACCCAAGATTTGCACGACTCTGACTTTGAATGTTACAGTCATTGTGGCATTGAATTCCAGGGTGGAAACATCAGTTTAATTGTTTTAGTGACCAGAAAACAAATTTTGATATGCGTCGGCTTACCCAAAATGAAAGGTTACGTGCCCTTGGCATGCTACAGATCGGCACAACACAGGCGGTTGTGGCGCGGACGATGAATGTTTCTCAGTCTGTCATAAGCAGGCTATGGTCCAGATACCGTGATACACAATCTGTACAGGACAGACCACGCTCAGGTCGACCAAGGGCGACAACTCAAGCCCAGGATCGATTTATCCGTACCTTGGCCTTGAGAAATCGTGTCATCACAGCAAATCAGATCAGCGCTCGTCTTCAAACAGACACTGGTGTGAGAGTGAGTGGCCAGACGATTCGGAATCGACTGCATAGGGGTCACCTTCGCGCCCGACGTCCTCGCGTGATCCCTTGTTTGAGAGATCATCACATTCAGGCAAGACGTCGTTGGTGTAGGGATCGTCAACACTGGGATAATCGACGCTGGAGCAATGTGATGTTTTCAGATGAGTCAAGGTTCACTGTTGATTTTTTGGACAGACGTAGGAGGGTGTGGCGTCGTCGAAACGAGCGCTTCCAAGACGTTAACGTCATCAGACATGATCGATTTGGGGGTGGTTCTGTTATGGTGTGGGGAGGCATCACTGTTGCTGGAAGAACGGCTTTACATGTTGTTGCAGGGCGTGTTACAGGCCAGTACTACCGGGACAACATCTTGGCAGTCCATGTTGTGCCGTTCGCACGACGTCATGGCCGCCGTTTCATCTTCCAGGATGACAACGCAAGATGTCACAGGGCCAGGATCGTTACAGGTTACCTCCAACAACAGAACATCACCACATTACCTTGGCCAGCACTGAGTCCCGACCTCATCCCCATCGAGCATGTCTGGGACATGCTTGGACAGAGGTTACGTCAACGTCAACAACGTCCTGCCAATGTCCAAGAACTTGCTGCTGCGTTGCAACAGGAATGGGACAATCTGGACCAAAATGACCTTAGACGTCTCATTAGGAATATTCCACGTCGGATCAATGCTTGTTTGGCAAACAGAGGAGGATTTACCCGTTACTGACTTGGTTGTGATGCTGTGGTAACTTTGCTGTTTGACCCCGGGTATCATTTTACCCTTATAATGGTCAGTCTGTGCCTTACTTAGTCTAACGATCATTTGGAATAAATCGATGAATGTGAACTTCATTTCATTTTGTCATTTGTTTCTTCGTCAGTTTCATTAGGTGACTTTAATAACACTTAAAAATGAAATATCCCCTACTTTTTTTGAATAGTATATATTGTCATGAAGTGAAACTTGGTATAATACATATAATACCAAATTGATATACACAGAGCTAGAGTAATGTCAATCACTTAAGATAGTTGCCATCACATGTTGTTGAGAGTGGGGGAGTATCTGAATTGGAGATAGATTTAAGCTAATTAGGTACCCTGCAAATAAATTCGGTCAAAAATGTCGTACTCTCTCATTGTCTGGTAATCCAACAGCATCTGCCCATTCCTCCCCAGTTCCCATATTAGAACATTGTGTTTAAATCCGGGTAGCTTCTGTGCAGGTGACTTGTCGGGTTACGGATTTGGCTAGCAAATTTACCCGGGACCAGTCTATGACTCATTCACGTACCCACTTCATAAGAGAGAGTACGATTAAGGTTCCTGGAGAGGCGTACCATTAGCCGCCTCGGCTTAGAGGCCGGGATAGACAATCATTTAAGTTACTTAAGACCATCATGTAGATACTTATAAGATAGTGTTGGCTTGTAATGGCATAGCTGTACTTATTGTTGTTTCATGTATTACCGTTATATAAACACGGGTTTTTAGAACAACACAGTGTTCTATTTTGATTCGTTATGGACAAACGTAAAGAACGTGAAGTCCGTAAAGAAGTCAAGAGTGAAGATACAGGGTTGTGTCCAACAGCAGTGGCACACCATAGTGTCACATCTTTTTATTTGGTGCCGTGACACAGGCTAAGTGTCTCCACAGTATCACACTGACACCCTTGACACCAACTTTTCCGCTTTCCGTCAGAAAATTGTTAGCATACATTGTCTCGTATCGGTAGTTTGGGCACATTGAAGTTACAGCCTTAGAGACGGTGACCATAACCAGAGTTGTTAAAACAAAAATATGTCAGAAAATCGTAGAGACAGTGACCATAACGAGACAGTGGCCGTAACCAAAGTTGTCGACACAAATATACATCAGAAAATCGTAGCTATACATCTGCCACTACTTAAAGTTTGGACTTCGGAACAGCGGTTTACATATAAAAGGAAAATTAATTAAAAAAAAAATGTAAACTTGTCAATCACCAATTTATGGTGTTAGCAGACGTATTTGTCAAGCATGTGAACTCTTCAAATAAATATAAGGTATTCTAAAAAAAAATGGTCCGGTTGCTGAAGGCGTGTTTATGTGGGGAGAGGGTGGGGGGCACCCGAGCTGTGAATTTATGGGATAAAGTTTTTCTAAACCAGTTTTTTGAGTACTTTCCGAAAATGGGTGGCGATTATTTGAGGGGCGTTTTCGAGGTAGGGTGGGTGCGGCTTGGGGAGGGGGCAGTTCAGTTTCTGTTCCAGCTCTTCAAAAATTATCGGCCTACATGCTTTCAGTGGTAATAATTCTGTGTCTTCCTTTTTCAGAAAAGGAAAATCTCAGTGTTTGGAGTTAATCTAAGATAATTCTGAATTTCTAACAATTTTGGAAGTGCTAGGACCGATAAATGATGTTCTGACGACGTAATTGCGGGTTTAGAAAAATTTGTATGCTATAAGAAATTTTAATCGTGAGCTTTCTTTATTACTACCTTTTACACTTGATACACAATTTGGTATTACCCGTAGGTGCTGTCTGTAATGGATATTATTAAAAGGAATCTATATATTTATAAATAATGCTGGATTTCGGGTCTAGTCGACGATTTAGCCTTTATATTATCTGTCATTCATTTTATTTTTTCTCTATTTTGACCCCGAAGCACTTCTCGTCTGAAATGACTACCCAAACAATTGCATAATTGGATAACTAGCTTGCATTTGGGAACATGGTAATTGAGCAAGAGTGACAAGATATTAAGCCTTGTCATACTTCATTAGTTCGACTACGCAACTGCGTATTATCAAGTCACACATTAATGTTTTTACTTAGACTATACGTTTCAAACAATTATCAAGAATTACGAATTATCTGCGTAGGCGTGCGAGAGTCCCCTAACTGTCCGGCAGTCTGACTTTTCGAGCAGATGGGTAAAGTGGAGAAAAAAATTAATACATCATCTAAGTGACAAAATAAAGTGCCCGAAAACTAATAAAACACTAATTTTATTTTTCTTGAATACCGAGAATTTGTACTATTGACTATGGATTAAAACATTTTGTCTGGAGCCACTCTTTTCTGTGCCATACTGTTCGGGCATCGATTATTACCTTATATTGGACCACACTGAAGTTTTTGTATTCCCGGGCTGGGATAGCAGGAAACGCGTTTGCGACCGTTAAATGTTCAAAATTTTCGCCCGGCAGTTGCAACTGTAAACGATTGCCAGGTCAGTCACCCAATTTTTTTGGACCACGGGCTGGAATATAGCAGGAAAACGCGTTTATGCGGCCATCAAATTGTCCAAGTTTTCCTGTGGAGGCCCCTACGCGGTAAGTTCTGTGTCTACTAGTCCGTTGGCTCAAGGGGGGGGGGGGCGCCACCCGAGAGCAGAAATTATGAGACCAAGTTCTCCGAGAGCCGTTTTGCGTAGATTTCGATTCTGGGCGGTGATCAGGCATTTTAAGGGGCTTTTGGACCCCCCCCCCCACTAAAACTTTCACGCCAATTTTCAGCTTTGCACCCTACCCGCAAACCGAAAAAGACGTTCATAGGGACATCTTATACATCGCATGAAATTAATGATTAATGATCATAATTTGTATCAAAATTATATATATCAACGTTACCGCCAGTTTTAGGCACTGCCCCCCCCCCCACCAACCCCCAACCCCTCACAAAGCAAAACAATGGCATTCTATACACTTCTTGACAGATGTACAGTGATATAAATTAATGTTTTACTAATCTATATGATGATCATCATTCATTTCAACATTATCACATTTCCCGTGGTAGCATTGGATCGTCTGTCCACAGTCCCCTCCCTCCCCAGGCCTCCACACAAAACAAAACAATTATCCATTAGGGTCCTATATACTTATTTAGAGATGTAAAGTGCAATAAAATGACTATCAACATTATCATATTTCCACAATATTTAACACATAGGACCCACCCACCACAATCCCCATATCTCGGAAAAGCCCCTTCAAACACCTTATCACCACCCAGAATAGAAATCTACGCAAAAAACTGCTCCACAAAAACTTGGTCTCATATATTCTCCTCTCTGATAGGGATCCCCCCACCCCGCCATGAGCCACCGGACTATGCGGCGCTCGCTGACGACCAGTGCGGCTGTCTGTAAACGGGAACTGTTTCGGGCATTTCAGTTCTACCCCCTAACATTCATCGGGCCCGTACGCCTACGATTCTGTGTCCTGTATTTATACAAATTATTGGTTATTAAAAATCAATACATTAAACCATTTGTTGGTCTACACGCATAGTATATTTGTATATAATATATCAGATAAACCTATACATGATGTATGTCAGTGTGTAGTTAGCACGGTTTGCTTACCATATCGGGCCTCGGCACGAGAAATGTCGTGATCGCTACTCGTCGTCTTGATGTCATCCAGCTCCAGCGAATCAATTTGTGCTGTTTCCTCGACGAGATATATTCTGTTGTCACTCTGTTCTAATCCTGTATAGTTATCGCCGTTCTTCAACATTTCTTCATCTTGGGATGTTCGTTTCCAGTAGTTTTACTTTTTCTACAGAAGTTTATTCCCGATCAGGTATGCCAGTATTAGGTAAGGCTCAATTTGTTTTCTCTCATAAGAACTGACTAGAAATTTAAAGGGACACTGATTTTATACATTTATTAAAACGGTACTTTTGTTATATACATGTATTGACTAACAGTTATGTCAGTCAGTTTCAGTTAAGTTTCGGTTTTTTTCTCCATAAAAACATGAAATAGGTATTGGCTGTACATTATTTCGCCAAAATTCCAATTGTTAACATTTGGATATGTTGTTTAATGGTTAAAAATTGCAAAAATAACGAAATTAATCATGATTAGGATAAAGGGATTTTGATAAATGGTTATGTTTATATCTTTGTCTTATATTTTCATTGCCATATATCATTTTTGGGGGCTGTTTAGCAGTCTGAAATTATAGTGCGGCATAAGTAGTTTAAAATAGTTTCTAAATGTTTTTTTGGGGGTATTAATTGTAATCCAATTTTTTTAAAAAAATAATATTGAACTGTAAACCAGAGCTTGTAAATCTGATTATTTCATATTTAAATAAAGCTGGGTTATCGAACGGTTCGCGAGGATATGCAAACCATTCGCTGAAGTAGACAACTTACATAATAGTCTTTATTGTTTTAATTTACATACTAACTGCGAATTTCAAAAAATGAAATGAAATAAGAGTTTTACGCTCTACTTGTCAACACCAATCGGCCTAATGAAGACGGGCTAATGAAATCGAGGTATTATAATAAAAAGAGATAATATATTATATCGTTTGTCTGTGTACTGTATTAAATTTGTCCCGATTTCAGAAGAAGCTCACCAAACTGATCCGCAGTAAAACAAATTCCCGGTCGCTTCTGTGATGAACGATGACTAAGTTAATGAGGCACTAGTATTAACTGATTATTCGCATCTTATATTATATGGACATATTATATGTTTTTTTACAAATTAGTACCCGCAACCATCAATGGTGTAAAAAGTGAAAATTTATTCCGGATCAATTCCTTGTAATGCTCCGCCTGTGTAAACAAACCAATTATTGCCCTTTAACAGGTTGACCTTGTGCTATGATCTATCGTAATCTAGTTTCATTGCCACTCGATATTTGTTCTTGTATTTTATAGATGTTTTAGACAGTTAAAAGTAGTGTAAATAGTGTACACGTTGTTCTTATAACGTTTTCAATAACACAAAACAATACTCAACCAAAAATCTGAAAAGTAATCGATTTCGGCATGAGAAGACCATCGCTGAAAAGCAAACGATCAGCAGCTGAAACCGACATTAATTATTATAGACAATATGATGTCCCGACCTAATTAGGTCACCCGTTCGACATCAACTCCCAAATAAATCCACAATACATTAAACAGGTGCGGGTACGATTGGGAGGGGGCTGGGGGGTATTAATAATTGAGGTGTGTGTATTCGCCTAAAAAAAATATTCCGGACATGGGTCTTTCATTTGGAAGATTAAAATGTAATTACTTTAATACGACTTCGTTTCGCTCCAAGCTGCTCCCCTAATATACATATTAAAACATAAATGCATCCATATCAATTTCAGAGAGAAGTTTTATTGTCCTTTATATAATGCAAGCTTTGCTCGTCTTGTTGGGAATACATAAGAAATATACAATTTTCCCCACCACTTAAAAGTCAATATATTTCTTAAAAAGTTATTAAACCCAATAAATACAATCAGAACATAAAAAAGGTATATTTGTGTTTTTAAAGCTTCAAAGGACAAAGGTAAATTTAATTGGCTAGCTCCACTCGGCTGTGAGAAATGTGTATTTAAAAATACCAATCAACTAGTTTGACCAGTTTTTGGTGGTGTTATTCTTGCTTGGTTTTCTGGTGCTGCGTCCCAAGTTTCTTTCTATTCCCTCCCCACCTTCTTCTTTTTATACGCACACATTTTCATGTGGACGCATATTCTCCACCCGTCCGTCCGTCTACAATGTGTTTGTTGGCACTCTACAGGTCACAATTCTTATCCGATTTTGACGAAACTTGAAATATAGGTCTATCTCCAAAAGATATCGGTTCCTCTCGATATTGGCATCTATCGGATTATGGCTCCTGATTGTACGAAAAATTACGTTTTTAGCTTGTGGTGGTAACAATTTTCATTTGATTTTGCTAAAACTTGAAATGCATGTTTATAACCCAAAGATCTTGGTTCCTTTCGATATTTGCGCATATCGGATTGTAACTTCCTGAATTATGACCCCTGATTGTACGAAAAATCGCGTTTTTAGCTTGTGGTCCCGCTAGAGGTCACAATTATTATCCGATTTAAAACACCGTTCGAACATATCACCGTTACACCGTTGTGGCGCTTGAGTTCGAATTTCGTGAAAATCGGACCAAAACTGCCGGACAAAATGGCCGCTCCTCGTACGCAAATAGTGTAAATGTATGGTATATCAAGGTTGTGGACGCTCTAGAGGTCATAATTTTGATCCGATTTTGATGAAACTTGAAATACATGTTTATAAACCAAAGATCTTGGTTCTTTCTGATATTCGCGCATATCGGATCGTAACTTCCTGAATTATGGCCTTTGATTGTACGAAAAATCACCTTTTTTTTAGTTTGTTCTCTATCCATCGCTTGCAAAATGTGGGCGTGTCTTGCCTGGCAGCCGCCGGTTTTTCTTTCTTTTAAATGATTTCTTTATTTCTTATTCAACGCCCTTTTTTCATGGCACCATTATCTACAACCCTAATATAGATAATCATTCTTATAGTGTTACATTACCAGCTGCGCATTAAAATTATATTCATATCAACCTATTTTGGAAGAAGTTTTATATAAGCATTAAGTTGCTTGTTACTGTATCCAAATATTCATTATACTCTTTATGATGATTGTATATAAGTAATCCGAATAAATACTGTTTAAATCACCTCTTTGTTGAAAATTGGTCTTTTCACCACAGGGGGAGAAATCATAGTTATGTCAATAGATACCAATCCGGCTGTATTGTACGAAGCTATGTAGCAAATTGGGATGGGGGGACGATTGATTAACGACAGCAAACAAATTAGCAAAATCCCTAGTGTGAGTTATCAGTCAGGGCAGGGGTCCGGTTGGAACCTTTGTTCCCTCCAAGCGTTGGGCCTGATTTGCATGTAACATAACTTGTAGAAATATCGTCGTTGCGACATTGTTTTAAATTTATGGACAAGGAATAGAGGAATAAGATGGTTTAAACAACATTTTTATCTTTACAAATTATTCTCTATTGTCAGTATATTAGCTATGGTATGGGTTTATTTAAAACGCAAATTAATTGATTATGTAATTGTGTGAGAATAATAGGAAAGGGGGTCTGAGTTCAAGGATAGAACTTGAAAAACATGTGACGGAAAATTACGATTGCTTCATTTGGCTTGTTTGACCAATCTCTATACTTATTTACATGATATTTGACCAATTAGATAATTGAACGCCCAAAACCCACAGCTACAAAACTATCATACTTGTGAGAATTCGTTAGACAGCAGCTTGATTCCAGAAGGGGAAAGATGTAGCAATTTCTATCAGCAGACGCGCCCATATCAAGTCTGGCTGGCTAGGTTTTGAGATTGACTTTAGTATTGTAATCTATACGATGCTTATATGTATCCAGCTTGATATATAAAATGTAAAAACGAACAGTTGCATTGTTATAACTACTGGGAAGACAAACGTCTTACGAAAACAGTAAGAAGTAAATACACAACGTGAAGCAGAAGCAAAGACAGCTAGAGACAAATCCTAGACGATCACAAGGCTACTAAGATATGTAGTAAGAAAAGATGCATGGGTCGTACGTAGGATGTGGCGACCGGTTTCCAACTCCCGCTCTTCACATCTGACTAAAGACCCATGGTGCTACAAACTCTGCATGTGGGAAGCAGATGAATACCAATCTCTTTGCTACGTGTAAAAATGTATAGGAGACAAAGTCACTAAATTGCAGAAAGCAGTGCCCAGTAGTTATTACAATATACTAAAAAAAACATGTGCATGGGGTCCACGGAGACCCCACGTGCACCGACCAAGCCCGTAATTAGGGGGCAAAAAGTCCCCCCCCCTCCCCTGTGAAGAAATTGTCGACCATAGATATACATTGTCCGTCAATTTTACAGCAACCATGAGAACACGTCCCGCACCCCCACCCCCTCGTTGCTCTGGGCTAGTTACGGCCCTGGCACCGACAAGGGTTTAAAAAAATCAACATGCCAGACGAAAGGTTACATAATAATAATAGACTTAACGACCATATAAAATCTGAAGTCCAGAAATTGACCACGTTTAATGTAAAACTTAAACTTAAAATGGTCATAACTTTATCCAGGCATGTTGGAGCCTCTAACTGTGGAGTCATAGTAATTGATGCCATTATTATAGCCTTACTTTAGGAGGTGAGTATTTAAGACAACAACATACACCCAAGGGAAGGATAATGTTACAAAAGGCTATTTGATTCTCAAATATCAACGAATTATTGATTTTTTCTGAATTCATTCCAAACTGAATTAAAGTTCTAGAAAAATAGACAGTTTCATAAAATATGCTACATTAGTAATTAGATTGATTCAGAAAACTCCAAGTGTTATTTTAACTTTAGAAATGGAAACTGCTGTTTTGTCTGGTTGTTCAGATAATTAGATCCAATTGTTCAGTTGAAATACTAAGCTGCCTGCCATAGCTGTTAGTGAGCTGTATCGGGGTTCAAATACAGAAGTCGGGGCATTGTTTCAACTGAAAATACCGATGGAGAAATATTATGCCTATTGCTCGGTGCAAGATGACTATTGCCTCTTAATAATTCTAATTAAATTATTGGACGTCAGTGGAAGCACGGTTAATCATTATCTACCGTTCAGTTATTGCTGTAAATATAATTAACTCAAAATGTTCTTTTAAATAATGGCATAATGGAAAAATGGATCTTTTGTAAATATTTATCGGTGTCTTTAGATATGAACGATTCCTTTACTTGTGCGTTCAGAAATTTGGTGTATACCATGATTGGAGAGACTTCTC